AAATAAAAAGTTCTATTTTTGGCAAATGTAAAAGCCCTTTCACACAAAAAGTGAAAAGAATAAGCCTCAGGCTGAAGGAAATGTGAATATGTCTGTACAGTAGAGGGTTTGCTTAAACCTTTCAGTTGTGCATTCTGGGTTGCATGAAGAATAGTATGCAGGAGAAGAAAGTTCAACACTCTTCAGCAATAAAAAAAACAAACAAAAAAAAACAATATGTTTATATAAAGTAAATTTGGTTCATTAGTATGGTTGTATTGGATCATCAAAGGTCAGCAGCAAAGACACTGGTTAATAAAATGGGATTTTTTATTATTATGTTATTTAACATTTAATTATTGCAGGTTTGCATCATATTTTGAGTTTGCATTGCACTATTTTTATTCATTTTGAGGAACGCTGAATCTGTTTTTGAGTAAACACATGTTCATATTTAGTCTAGAACTACAGTAAGATCATGTTCACACACAACGCTCTGCACTTACTCCTGATTTCTGTCACCATGACAACACCAGAGCTTTCACTCAACACATGGAAACAAAGTAACTGGAGCTACTTATTTTGAAAAAGTAACTCAGATATTTACTTCTAAATTAAAAAGTAATGCGTTACTTTACTAGTTACTTAAGAAAAAATTAATCTGATTACGTAACTTGAGTTACTTGTAATGCGTTCCCCAACACTGCACACATCCGTCCATCCGTGTGCCCTGCTCACATACGAGAGTCTACCGGCCTCTGTCTGCTCGTCTTCTTCAGGAGGTCTGTAAGCTGCTGATCCACACGAGGCATCCGGAGGTGTACCAGCGGCTGGGAGTGGTTCCTCCGCGGGGGTTCCTGCTGCACGGCCCGCCCGGGTGTGGGAAGACACTGCTGGCTCAGGCTGTGGCTGGAGTGAGTGACTCTGACTCTGTGTGTGTGTGTGTGTGTGTTGTCACTAGGGCTTGTGAAGCACAGTTCTGTGATCAGCAGTAAATCTCCATCTGAAGGCCAGAGAAACTCCAAATACGTCTCGCAGAAGAAACCCAGGAAATCCCTATCGCTGCAGCTGAATACACAGAGGATTTAAAGCAGCACTATGTAACTTTTGGCGCTCTAGCGGTTAATAAACAGAACTGCACACATCCCGCGGAAGAACATTCCAACCGGAGCTACTTCTCTAAGTTTATGTCTCTGGCGATTCACGCAGGTATGTGTTACTCCGCAGCGGTGACGACCCGACCAGATTACAATAGTCCGAATATAAGTACTTATTATAAGTGTACCGTAGTGATTCGGAATAAGACAAAAACGTGGTTTGGAAGATTAATTCATGATGTACAAACATGTTATTACAGTAAAAACATGTTATTAAATGTGTATTTTCACGTGCTTTCAGATGGAGCAGCATTTACTACACAGAGCCATAGTTCATTGAGAAGCTACGCAAACAGCTGTCATTATCGCAGTGCAATTTCATAATATCGATGATATCGTCTGCAATTCTTTTGCGTAGCTTGTCAGTGAACTACAGCTCTGTGTAGTAAATGCTGCTCCATCTGAAAGCAACTGCTGGAGATTTACTACTGATCACAGAACCGGCTTTACTGACGAGATGCGCATGACTATCGTGCGTATGACTTAAGGTGCGTCCCAAATTGCGTACTTATGCACTATTCTATGACGTTTTGTAGTATAAATACGAGTAGTGCAATCACACTGAAAATTCCAAAAAGAAAAAGTGCACTTGAATTAAATACCCGGATGCTCTTAAATAACCGAACATACGAAGTGTGGAATGTTGGACACTTCATGCACTTCACTGTTGCAGCTTTAATTACGTAGTGAAGGGGGAGGGGCTACCAGACTCCGTTTATGAATGACAGAATAACCTTCTATAATTCATACACTACATGGTTGAGAACATAAGTACATAGTGTATAGTGCGTCATTTGGGACGCAGCTCTAGTTTTTACTGCTGTGTGTATCTGATGTGTGTGTGTGAGTGAGTGTGTGTGTGTGTGTGTGTGTAGGAGGTGGGTCTGCCCATGCTGAAGGTCTCGGCTCTGGAGCTGGTGTCAGGAGTCTCTGGGAAATCAGAGCAGAAGCTGCAGGAACTGTTTGAGCAAGCCATAGTAAGAGTCACACCCTGAACACTTCTTAGGGTTAAACAGTCGATTAAAGGTTCTTTGTGTGATTTCGCAGTGATCATAGACCCGGTTCTTCAGATGTAATGTGGCTGTCAGATCACACTGGATGTTCCAGTGCAAAAATGGAAAATGTTAGGGTTGACATCGATTTGGATATACTGTATATCAGATACAGTACATGTCAGCTGTTCTTAAGGAATACATCTCTCTCTGGTCTAAAGCTGTAAACTACATCGTGCCAGTTGATGCATTATTATAATATTACAGGTGAAAATTTACAACTGATTCCAAATGCTTAAATCAAATTTTTATATTTAGATATATTCATTAACAAGCTAAAACTGAGTTGTATACAAACATTTAAATTGTGCATATTTTTATATTTAAAGCTGCAGTCCGTAAGTTTTGCCTCTTTGTCGCCATCTCTGTGCGGAATTATCTTCCTTGCGTGGGTTGTACTCTGGCTCGGCTCCAGCGCGGATGAACCTAATGTTTTGAGGAGTATGTGTGGCAGTCAGTCACCGCACCGGTGGATATTTACTGTACTTCACAAGCCTACGTCTTGGAATATATGACCCAAATAAGAATTTTCACCGGATATTGTCATCTGAATGTGTGTGTGTGTGTGTATGAGTGTGTGAATGAGTGTGTGTGTGTGTGTGTGTAATTTAGAAGTTAATTTAAAAACTGCATTATGTGCAATTTACATGTTTGCATACAAATTTTTGTTTTTAGTTGAGTGTTGATTATTATTATATAAAAATAAACGGTAATTAAATTTAAGTGTGGGCTCTGTTGTGAATTGTAACCTAAAGTAATGTAAAAGGGCTCCCTATAGTTTAGAGCAGAAGCTGAGGTAGATTTGTATCCCTTAGAAAATTTTTAATTATAATTGAATTTATTTAGAGTAATTTGTTCAGTAAACTACTGTTTAACATATATATATGCTCAGTTTGTCCTCCTGCTGTACCGAAACCATACCATCAAACCCGAGGTACGTACCGAACCGTCATGATTGTGTACCGTTACTCCCCTTGGATATGGATCATTTTTATACACAATATTAGTTTAGATCCTTGTATTAATTTCTGCTTTCACATGTTCTCCAATGCAACAGTGACGAAGCAGGTCGTTTCTTTTGTGAGGCATCAGAGATATTGAAGCCCATGCTTTCCTATGCTGACATGCTGCGTTTTTCTCATGGTGATACTCCACTCTAATGAGATCAGTTTGTTTATAGACAAAAATGTTATGCATGGTATATTATAATGTAGCGAATCAGCTCATGGGGAAATATGAATAATTAATCATAACTAGTTATAATTAATTACTCCAGATGATGTTCTGGTTTGGTGTATTTTAGGGCTGGGTTTTGACACAAATTTCACGATTCGATTCGATTCGATATCGATTAACTACATTATTATAATATTGAGGGTTAAAATTAACTGATTTGTTAATTTCACTTAATGAAGTTTTTAAAATAATAAAGTTACAATTACATAATAATATTTCTACTTCAATTCGTTTTTTTTATATACAAATTTTAATGGTGGCTGTCATAAAAAATTTATGGATTTATTAAAACAGAAATTAAACATAAGAACAGTAAAAATTATAATGAATATGTTATATGGTGCATATATTTAGCTAAATACCCCTCTGTACAGTTTATTTTTCTATCTGACTAATGAGTTTATGGTCACAGAACATGTTTTTCTGAGGTAAATGTGACGGTACGTTTACAAGCCGTTATATTGACGTCTTTGCGCGGCTGAAACACTGATTGAGCGATTACATGAGACAGGATACGGATTGTAAAGTTGTACTCTTTCTTTTAACTTGCCTTCGGATGTTTAGTCATGTTTATTTTGTGCTGAAACTGGTATTAATGTGGAGGAGATGATCAGTTCACTGAGGCGCTACAGCGATCTGTCACACACAAAAGCGCCAAAACGGCATTTATTGTTTGAATACTGCAATACAATGGACAGAATTTGAAACCTGGGACTTTGCTTCATATTAAAAGCACCAAAGCACGATGCTTATTGCGATTTATTGGATGGGAAGTGTTCTTCAATGTTCCGTCCATTAACTGAAAACAGGCTAGACTAATCGATTCTTGGGATTTAAGAATCGATATCGTTCTGTAAAAATGAGAATCGATTAATATCGAGGAATCGATATTTTTTACCCAGCCCTAGTGTATTTGGACTCGTTTCATTGGCTGAAGGCTGAGTGTGTGTCTCGTTGGTCTGTGTGTTTCAGAAGAGCGGATCTGTCGGCGCTGGTGCGAGAGGCGTGTGTTAACGCTCTGAGAGTTCACCTGAGTTCAGGACCAGCACACACACACACAGGTAACACACACACACACACACACTTCACTGATGAATCGCCCACGCTCTGGGATCTGGTCTCAAACACTGCAGCAGACCCACACGTGATCTCTCTCGTTATAGAGCCAGTGAAGGACATCCGAGTGAGCCGCGTTCACTTTGAAGACGCCTTCAAGAAGGTGCGACCGTCTGTCTCCAGGAAGGTGAGTGACATGAAAGTCAAACCACATGTGAACCTGAAGATGCTGAAACCCCCTGCAAGGATGAATCTGTAGTCATATTCCCACTCATAATTTGAGATTTAGTCAAAATGATGACTGTAATCTGTGAATGGCTGGACTGTGCATTAGCTACAAAATCCACACTAAAACCAGCTGTTCGTGTTATAGTTACTGTGAATGGCAGCATTGTCATCACCTACTTTCTTTTATGAAGTGGCTCTTTACATTCATTATGAAGGAACTTTGAACAGAATGCATGAAATATCCTTGAACTCTTCTGCTGTGCTGCATTGTGCAAGAGTTCAGTGACATTTGCACCGTGGGACTTTCATACGTCATTGTCGCTGGTCAAAGTTTGTCCATCTTCAGCGTTGTGTGATTTTGTTTTATTGTTTTTCTTTTAATCATGGTTTCTTTTTTCTTCTTCTTTGCAGGACCAGTTAATGTATGAAAAACTGAAAGAGTGCCTTACAAGATGACAACTTTTTAGTTGAGCAACTTTGAGATATTTTGTACTAAAATAGTAAAACAAATAATACAATTATTGATAAACAATTATTTTCTCCTGATCATTTTGTGCATTTGTCCTGCAGTGAGATTTCAGCTCATGGAAGACCAACATTATTTTACATGATTTCATGAAATTATACATGCAATAAAGTGTATGTAAAAAAAAAAATGTTTATGTGTATGTATGTTTCACAGCGTTTTAACATGAAGATTACATGAAGATGATTGTTGCTTTAAAAATCCGCTAAAATGATCTTGACAGCTTATACAAAAAACTTGATTAAAATGAAAATTTATGTAAGTAGGTTTTGTAAAGTAGGCTGAACTTTAGTTTTATAGATTTTTGCCTGTTGTTTTTGGACAAGAAACTTATAGTGACAGAAACCCTTAATCAGATGTGTCCTGGACTGATCCATCATGAACTGAAGCATCAGCAATCCTCCAGAGTTTTGAGAGAGAGATTGTGTGTGTGTGTATGAGTGTGTGTATGTATGAGTGTGTGTATGAGTGTGTGTGTGTATGTGAGTGTGTGTGTGTGTAGGTGAGTGTGTGTGTGTGTGTATATATGAGTGTGTAGGTGTGTGTGTGAGTGTGTGTAGGTGAGTGTGTGTGTGTGTATATGAGTGTGTAGGTGTGTGTGTGTGTGTGTATGAGTGTATGTAGGTGAGTGTGTGTATATATGAGTGTGTGTGTATGAGTGTGTATATGAGTGTACAGGTATATATGGTTTATGAGGACACAAATGTGTATAATGACATGGGTACTACAACGTAAACATGGTTTATGAGGACACTTCCTGTGTCCCCATAAAACAAAAGGCTTAAAAAACATACAAAACGGTGTTTTATGAAATTCAAAAACTTGCAGCAGTTTCCTGTGAGGGGTAGGTTTAGGGGTAGGGTTGGTGTAGGACAATAGCACATACAGTTTGTACAGTATAAAAACCATTATGCCTATGGAGAGTCCCCGTAAACCACAAATACAAGTATGTGTGTGTAGGTGTGTGTGTGTGTGTGTATGTGTGTATATATGAGTGTGTGTAGGTGAGTGTGTGTGTATATATGAGTGTGAGTAGGTGTGTGTAGGAGTGTGTGTAGAGAGAGAAAATAAGCACTACTAGTCAAAGGTTTTGACATTTGACACTTTACTAAACACTTTTTTTTGATAGTTAAAAAAAAAAAACATCTAAAACCTGCTTAAAATAGTTTGTGTACAAATATAAATCATGTTTTTTCTTCCCAAAAGAACAAGTTGCCATCTGTCTAAACGTTTGACCAGTAGAGTACTGCAATCCCAATATTCAGGGTTAAAACATACAGAATATATATAAAATATTCATATATTTTAGATAGACACCAAGAACAATCATTAGACACCAGCTCAAATTTATTAAGGCTTTCCAGTTCATGTGATATAAAATGTATAAATGTATCAATACTTCACTGTTAGCCAAGGTTCGTCAATTCACTTGGTAAATTGATGAAATAATGAAGTAAAACAGAGGCTTAAACGGTCCTCTACTCCAAACCGCTGGACTTTGGCGTGTGTTAACGAGAGATTAGCGTTAATCGCTTCCAGTACTTCTAGATCCACTGCACTGAACCATACACTCATCTCTGACGCTGCAGATCTGCGGTTATTGTAAAAATTATACATAAGAACTAGTGCTGTCAAACCATTAATCGCATACAAAAAAGTTTTTGTTTACATCGTATATGTGTGTGTACGGTGTATATTTATTATTTATATATAAATACACACACATGCATGTATATATTTAAGAAAAATATGTTAAGTTTTGTATATTAAAATATATTTATATATGATATAATTTATATAAATATATACATGTAAATATTTTCAAAATATATGCTGTATGTGTGTCTTTATATATACATAATAAATACACACAGTACACACATTTACGATGTAAACAAACTTTTATTTTGGATGCTGATTT